GAATCTGGTATAATCGGAGACTGTACGTCGCTTACCCACTAACGAGTCTATGGGAGTCGCCTAGCTGACGCTACTCCCTAACCTTAACCTAACTAACCATATCAAATAGTTACTGGGTACGTTTCGGCAGTACCCTGGGGGGCAATATCTGCTTGCTAAAATCGAGAAACTAAACAGCAAACGAGGTAAATCTTTCATAAGCAAACATCTTTCACAATGTCAATAAGTGTTGAAATCACTAAAATTTAATTAAAAATTCCACTTACATAAAGTGTGGGCAATCTTTTACTTACTTGTACGAAGCAAATATAAGTAAATTAGGTAATCAGTGAAAAATTACATTTTGCTATTCTTTTTTGTAAACACTGTATAAATGCAATTGTTTTTGCTAACATACAGTAGCCTTATATAATTTTATTGTAATGCATCGGGACAGCCCTGTTGGAAATCAATTGGAAATATGCAGATTGGTAAAATGCTATAATGTTTATTATTGAATATTTATACTGGCATCTAAGCGGGGCATGGTAGCCCTGCGCGGGGTCACATGATAAATTAAGTTTCGCTTCGTGCGCACCCTCTCTTCATGCTCGCTCGTCGCTTCATATACTCCACACCTTCATCTCCACTCCTCTATTGATCAATCCTGCAGTCACTGTCTCTCCTCTCCTCTTCTCCATACACATAGTTGCTCTCATAGCCGAGTCATTCGCTTTTTTCATTTCTTCCTCTAATACTTTTTTCGTGCTCTCCTCACCTAAATTTTACCAATTCCCTCTAATCTCGCAATCTCTTTTGCCTCCAGCCTTCTGTTCTCTACAGGGAACAAATTATAGAATATACGTTCGCGTGTATTGGATGCGTGTAAAACACAGCCGCATTCATTTCACAAGGCCTACACGCGACGGGCGACAGCTATCTGAATTCAAGAGTTGCATTAGCGCGCTGAACCGAGAGAAGAGAGAGAGAGAGAGAGAGAGAGAAGAGAGAAGAGAGGAGAGAGAGCTTTATATATTTACATAAGATAGAGTAAGATTAGAGATATAATATAGTTGATACATTAGCTAACATAGCGCTATAATCTAAGCAAAATCCATACCTTCTGACTCTCATCAATTTTCTGAAGGGGGGGGGGGGGGGGGGGGGGGGGGGGGGGGGGGGGGGGGGGGGGTATATACATTATACCTTTCATAAATTGTCTCAGCTGAGGCACAGGATCGAATCGTTATAAAAAAACTGCAGTATAGTGCAAAATGGTGTTGCATCTTTCCGACAGTTGGTGGCAATTTTGCACAAAGATAGTGTAATTTGACGCCGGCAGGGGTATTCTCATTTTCAAGTGGCATGGAAGTTCCACGTTGCAGTTTGTACCTGCTTTCCAGGTGGTCCAACATGCACTCCTGCTGGCATGGTGTAGGCAAATAATGTCTAGTAGTTGCTCACTAACATAATGTGTGTAAATTTATTTTTGGTAATTGAGCTTTGGGCCACTTTCTTCAAATTTTCCTCTCTAGTAATTTTTGCACGGCTTTCATAAATAGCTACCATCTGCTTACTGTGGATCAGATCTGAGGAACTGGAGAACGCTTAGGCAGTTGCTCTGTTCGCTAAGTGCGATCAAAAAACTGTTTTTTGAACTATACTTCTAATGTAGTATCTAAGTTTAACTTCTAGTTCTAGTGACAAGCCTATGTACTGTGTCTTCAACTGTCTTGACGTCTTTATTACAGTACTAATTACATACCCTAAGATTGCTGAAGTGCAGAAGTAGAATCTTATACTCAAAGTGTTTGGTGTAATTAATTGGGGCAGGGCCACGCAAGCTGCTACTGCACGGCTACGCAGTGCCGGACATCTATGACTCACATTGTATAATGCCTCGCCGACTTGTCGTACATGACAGCTAACACACATGATTGTTGCGAACGGGACGCCTGTGTGCGTGCGTGTGTACGTGGCGTGTGTGTGTCCTCTGTGTGTGTGTGTGTGTTGAGCGAGAGCGAGAGAGAGAGAGAGAGAAGAAGAGAGAGTAGAGGCATTAGAGAGGGCGAGAGAGAGAGAGAGAGCGAGAGAGAGAGAAGAAGAGAGCGCAGAGAGAGAGAAAGAGAGAGAGAGTGTGTGTGCGTGCGTGCGTGTGATAGAGAAAGTGTGTGTGTGTGTGGTGTGTGTGTGTGTTGTGTGTGTGTGTGTGGTGTGTCGTGTGTGTGTGTGTGTGTGGTGTATGTGTGTGTGGCGGGCGCGAGGCGCGCCGCGATGGATGCATTGTAACCGGGCCTGTTTTTACACATGTTCATGTGGATTAGTCGAGTGAGATAGACTGGTAGTTGTTTTAGCATAGTCCATCTAGACAGCCTCGCTCAACCAGATGCGCGCTTGGCATTGATGTTTGGGAATAATGGCAGACGGGGTGTTAGGTTAGGCAGTTTCTAGGTGATTGTGAAATGAGCGGAACGGTTGAAACTGGACAGGAACGGGTACATGTGGGGGCAGTGTGTTTGTAGGAGTTGGGGGGGATAGTATAGAGAGAGAGATGTAAGAGGAGAGAGGATTCTGGGGTTGGTCCACGAGAGTACGCGCACTGTGCCGTCCTGCGCGTGTGCGCGGGTCTATTGTCTGTTTGTGGCGATTTGCCGATGAGATTGCTACACAGTTACGAGATTAAAATTATAACAGTTTAACCACACATTCTGGATTTGGATTTCTACTCAATCATTTCTATTTGAACTCGATTGTCGTTTACATTTTGGTGCGGCGACAGTGCAAAATCTGGTAATATCCTTTGTGGACATAACGCAAGTTGTACTTCATATCGATACGGGCCAGCAACGAAAACGAGAAGAATGACGGAGAGCGAGAGAGGGAGAGAAGGACGGAAAGAGCTAGTTCCGATGATGAGATGGGAGAGAGTATAGGCCGAAACACTATATCGATCGATCTACGGGCCAGCAACGAAACAGAGGAAGGATGACGGAGAGGCGAGAGAGGGACGGAAAGAGCGAGTTCTGGTGATGAGATGGGAGCATGCAGACTGTCGCTAGCGCCGACGACGATGACGATGGGACGAGGATCGCTGGAGATCGTGGAGAAGGACTGTTGCTGACGCCGCGTCGTCATGCAACGCTTAATCAACGAGAGGAGAAGGACGAGAAAGGAAGAGTACATTTCAACGAAGGACGAGAGGGATGCAGTCACACGGACGGAACAAGAACGCAAGAGATGAACGGGACGGAAATATTTAAAATGGGTATGTGAATCAATCTTGTGTCGGCATTTCTTTCATAATTAAAGTGAAAACGTTAGTTATAAACGTTAATATTCGAGGGTTTTTCCTGTATACACCATGCAAGCATGCACCATACGTTTTTTTTTATCCTCATACTTGTTTTAGTTCAAAGGGTGCATGTTATGTTATGTCGATGGGTATATACTTGCCGAGCGATTAAAACTTTGAATAAGGAACGCGACACAGTTTAATTGTTTCACACGCTTAATTAACTAACATTGTATGTACGTATATATGTATGTTTATGGTTGTTTTATGAACGTGGTATTTCTTCATGATATATGCTTCTAAATTTTTTTGTGTGTGGAAAATCTTTGTTGTGAAACTTTGGTTAGAAATTTGTGATCGTTTCTTGAATTTGTGCTAACCAGTGACGGTACGTTTCCACTATATTGTTAGACCGCTGGACACATTTTTCAATCAGAGTTTGATATAGGCACAAAACATTTCATCGAAATTATGAAATCAGTTTTGCGTATATTTGTTGCTTGTATTGATGTATGATGATGATTATATTGATGATTTTGTTGGCCGTTATGATTGTGTGGAAGTACCCCGATCATCAGTGCCAGTGTTTATTAATGTCTGTGTGCATGGGCCCCCTGTGTGCCCTGGGATTATGATGATATAATCCAGTTATAACGTGGTTTCGGTAATGCGTGTTGGTACACGTATTCGCCACGTACGTTACAGCCATAAAAATACGCAAGATTGAGATTAATTGCAGCGATATCAGAATGTTCATGCCAAATGTGTTGAGTTTCTGATTTATATTGTGGTAGACTTTTATCGTTACTTGTTTTCTACGCTTCATATGTGATCTCTTATTGTATTTTGATTGTTGTTATGTGTATTGATTGTGGGTGATTTAATCGGACAGAAAGACGTTTCTCTCGTTGGGCTGAGTTAGGACGATATTAGGGTAGTAATATTTTTTTTGGAATTTAGAATCAGCGGGACGCTGAATCGATGATGGGTTCATCGTTTTGTTGAAGGGGAAGGTGAATGTAACGCGTGTTTTACACATGTTCATTGGATTAGTCGAGTGGAGATAGACTGGTAGTTGTTTTAGCAATAGTCCAGCTAGACAGCCTCGCTCAACCAGATGCGCGCTGCATTGATGTATTGAGTAATGGCAGACGTGGTTAGGTTAGGCAGTTTCTAGGGTGATTGTGAAATGACGGGAACGGTTGAAACTGGACAGAACGGGTACATGTGGGGGCAGTGTGTTTGTAGGAGTTTGGGGGGATATATAGAGAGAGAGATGTAAGAGGAAGGATTCTGGGGTTGGTCACGAGAGTACGCGCACGTGCGTCCGCGCGTGTGCGCGGGTCTTTGTCTGTTTGTGCGATTGTCCGATGAGATGGCTACACAGTGTACGATATTAAAAGTTATACAGTTTACCACACAAGTTTGGATCTGTTTCTACATCATTCTACATGAACTCTTAATTCGTCGTTACAGCATGGTGGATGAATCCGGATGAATGGACGGACAAACGCACAAACGGACCGGCGGACGGATGAAAGGATAGATAGACAGACGGCCAGACAGACAGAAAGACACACACACACACGCACACATTAATCTGTTAGGCAAGACGTAAATCACCGGAAACTTTGTTTTTCTGAGAAAATATTGGCTAACACTCCATTAGGAGTGTTCCCAACTTTGAATGATATCATTAATGATTATAATGATTGATAATCCTAGCCCTAACCTAACCTAAAGACTATTAAACCACAAACTAATATATGACCATGACATAATATATATATATATATATATATATGTTATTATGACCATTAATGACATTAAAGTTGGGAACACTCCTAATGGAGTATCACCCAAAATATGGCAGTACGTCCTGATACGCAATCATGCATGCGTGTACGCTGTGAGATCTCTGTGTGAACGTACGCACGCGTAGCCACTGTAATTATGTTATCATAATATATATATATAATTTTATACATATATATATATTATATAAATATATATATATATATATATATAAGAACATATAGTGCCTGCTTGTCATCGTCGCTATAACTACAAATCCTAGACACCCATATCTGCTTATCTTTTGTTCATGTATCCTATTCCCTACGTATTTAGCTTCTCCTACTATGCAGCTGTTAAACATTTGCGACACAACATCAACCTTTTAATCAAACTTGAACATAGAACCAGGGTCTCATACATCCGTATTTTTAACAAAAAAACTCATTTAAATCATGCACGTTATATGTTGTCAGGAGCAAGGAGAAGTCACCGATTCTACTGCGTTAAAATGTGAAGGAAATTAATTTACCTACACCTACGGTAGGAAAATGTGTTACGAGTGTTTTCATGCAAGCCGCTTTAATGTAATGGGACAATTATGATATTGTTCTCCAATTAACCAGCAGGAAAATCTCATGTACCAGGTAGGAAATTTCATGCATTGGGAGTTGTCCAATTAACCAGCAGAAAAATCTCATGTACCAGGTAGGAAATTTCATGTATTGGAACAATTACGCTGTTGTTAGCTAATTAACAGCCATGAAATGCGTATGCTTCGTACAGAGAATATACTGTTTATGTATCACCCATTAATTTTCATTTTGCAGGAGTTTCTTGGACGAAAACGGTTTCACTTTTGGTACATGAAAATTTATGCATAATAATTCATTCCCGTTTTATGTGCAAAACAGTCACAAAAATACCTGTCTGGGCAGGGGTATTCTATTCTATTTTTATGCATGAAACATGCAAGAAACATGCATGATTCATGCATGTACATATCCCTGAATATTCATGTTTTTTCCAAGAGGGCAGCTTTCATCCCATCTGTGTAGGTTTTTTCACCTGTGACAAATCTTTACAAATCAATCATTGAACAAAATAGCATACACTATTTATTTATTGCTTCTCAACATGTGCAGATGTAGCAAACGTTTTTTTACGATAAAATTATGGACTACTAAGTACACCTATCCCTACCCACTATGAAAAAAGCTATTAGTATAGTAGAGATTAGGGTCCCTAGTAGAGATCAGTGGGGCGAATGCATAATAATTATTGCCGCGAGAGGGCAGCAGGGTACAGTCAATAACAATGGCGGATGGTGTCAACTGTGACGGGTGATTTATGAGTTCGCCAAAAAAGATCGAATAGCAATGGATTTCCAGGTAATTTACTGCAGAGAGCAAGTAATATGAGTCCGTTAATGGCACGCGCAAATACCGACATAGATTTCAGGGCCCTAGCAGAGGAAGGTGACGGGAAATGCTCGCGCGTCGCAATGATGGTCAGAAACACAGGCACTTGAAGCATATCAACAGTAAACATACGCCGCCTCCATTGCGCGTACACTGACACATATATATTGAGCAGATGCGAAAGCGTGCGCCAGGAATTCGCTCGACGCTCGCTTGTCTACACACGATTTCACACACAAATACTCAACCTTACGACTCATCTTTGCTCCTAATTGAAGTACAGTGCTTACTTGTTGTAGAAATATCATGTCTCACTTCGCAGCAGAGAGCTGTGTCACGCAAAATCACGAAATTAAATCATGAATATTCTCGCGATCTCTAGCGTGCTTGCGCGATGGTAACACATTTCGAGATCTGGAGACCCCTACCGGTCGTAGGCGTGACGTCATTTTTCGAACAGCATGCCTCCGGCGACTCGACTCGCTCCCAGTGCTCGCTCCACGCTCCAACTATCAGACTGTACAGTAGTGTTGTCAATCGGTTTTAATTTCGTAATCGATTATGCGATGGACCCAAGTAACGCGATGATCGGTTACAATCGGTTACTTGGGGTGTGAATTGCCTGCGTGTGCGTAACGTCGTGTGGCATGTACGTGTGTGCATGTATGTGCTTGTTTAGCCCTGTTTAGTGTTTGTTTTGCACTGTTTACTACTGTGTGTATAATACATGTATGTTAATAAATCCTGATTCTCATCACTTTTCCAAGTTTTCTGTTCAAGTTTTACATTTATTTATTTTTATTTTTTCTCATTTTTTTGATGAAATCGATTATGGATTTTGATAACCAAGCGCTTGGTTCGAGCCACTGTTCAACCGATGATCGAGTATAATCGATGATCGTGACATCACTACTGTACAGTACCTATAGACTGTACACTTCGATGTAACTGTCTTAAAAACGTGCAGAGGTAACGAACGTTGGTCCAGTCTATGGTATCTATAGCAACGCCCCACTGGTGGCTTTGACGGGGCTCACATGGGAGGCGGAAAGCAACGTTGTGGTTACCAAGATGCAGTGCGCGCCTTCGCCATGTACTTAAATGTGTAACCATCGCGCAAGCACGCTAGAGATCGCGAGAATTTCATGATTTAATTCGTGATTTTGCGTGACACAGCTCTGCTGCGAAGTGAAGACATGATATTTCTACAACAAGTAAGCACTGTACTTCAATTAGGAGCAAAGATGGAGTCGTAAGGTTGAGTATTTGTGTTGAAATCGTGTGTAGACAAGCGAGCGTCGAGCGAATTCCTGGCGCACGCTTTCGCACCTGCTCAATATATATGTGTCAGTGTACGCGCAATGGAGGCGGCGTATGTTTACTGTTGATATGCTTCAAGTGCCTGTGGTCAGAAACGGCCGAAAACGGGGCGGGTAGGGGTCGCTTCAACACATTTTTTTCGACACTTCTTGTTAACTCACATCAATGTTTATCGTTGAAATGAACAAAGAACACCCTCACCAGCACCCCTGTTAATTTTAAAGGGCTACCCCCACATTTACCAAAAATGACAGGTCTCAATGGGCCCCATGTTCTCTGTCCTTGAAGGACGTGGATATTCGTCCGAGCATCGGACACCTGTTCGTATGCGCTATTCGTCCGAGCAGTTGCTGCGCATGCGCTGTTCATGTTGTATTACATAAATGTAATATAATGCTAGTCTAGGGAGTGACCTACTCTCCAACCTAACTCTAATACTAACCACTAATTATTTAACTCTAACCTAACTCTATTACTAACCACAATCTAAACCTACTACTAATTATTAACCGACTCCGTTTGCTTATATAGGCGAATGATAGTACCAAACACTATCTATGGTGTATAACCACATACGCAACGCATGTATGCAGGGGCGTCACAGCCGTAGGGCTGCGTAGCAAAACGCAAGGCAAAAAGCCTAAAGGGCAAAATATAAGCCTAATATAATATAATATAATAAAATTTAGAGCGTCTAGATTTTAAAATTGGCTGGGGAAACCCCCAGACCCCCTTCACACTTCCTATCTCCGGCACTAGAGGCGTGCGCCTGCGGCCACGCTACATCAACAACTGCTCGGACGAATAGCGCATACGAACAGGTGTCCGATGCTCGGACGAATATCCACGTCGATCCTTGAACCCCTGTGGCCACAACGTCAACGACCCTTCGTGCCTTACTTAAGCTAAAGTCACACTGTCACTGGGGCCGGACTGTCCACGGATTACCGCGGATGGGGCAGGATCTCCCCGGACCGTAAAATTTATAATCCGTGGCGATCCGGGTGAAAAAATTACGAGACTGTCGAAAAAAAGCATCATCGGGCCGGATCGGGCCGGACCAGCACGCAGCGCCACGGACCATCCTGGATTGAGCCCGCATGAAGCCGGCCCCAGCACGGAGTCACTACGGACGCGCACGGACCTGATCTGGCCTGGTCCGGTCCCGTCCTGGCCCATCCGTGCTCCCATCCGTGTTGGGTCCGACTTGATCCGTAGTGATCCGTGGCCGACAAAAACGACACGGATGGGCCCGGTTCAACACGGTGTGGGCCCGATTCAACACGGTGCCACTACGGACTGTCCCGGACCTACCACGGACGCGCCACGGACCGTCCAGGACCACCCCGGATGGGGAAAACTTCCCGGACCGTCCCGGATCACCCCGGAAATTTTAAACAGTTTAAAACTTCCGGGGCGATATCCCGGAATGCGCAAGACCATCAAGAACACCCCGGACCGGCGGACCGTCCAGGACCCAACAAGGATCTCTCCCCGAATCAGTCCGGCCCGGTCCGGGAGCTTGGTGTGACTTTAGCTTTACTGGCAATGCCATAGCTGCCTTTGCTTCACTGCATCTTCTTCTGTGTCGAGCAAAGTATCCTTTGGCATAGAATCCTTCACAGATATCGCACATTACTAGTTTGTCATTGCTTCCCTTTCTCTCGCGGTGATATGGAGTTCCACACTTGTTATTTTTCTGTGAAAATGCTTCTTTTCTATTGGCCAGGAATATGCCTCTTTTCTTAAAATTGTTAAACAGTCTCAGTTCCTCACATATTTGAAGCGCTAATGCTTCTTTGACTTCATTTAAATCCTTGTGTTTTAAACCACCCCTACATCCGAGAACATGTCATCTAAGGTTTTTTATAAATGGCCCAGACATTTGTGAACATCGTTTCACTTGCTTTGGTGTGTAATTGCCGTGAGAGCCATCGTGCAGCTGTTGTACTATTTCTGTAGTATCTTCTAGCGAGTCTTTTCCGTTTCGGGTTTTCGGTGCCTTGCTAAACATGGCGGGTAAAGCTGATTGGAAAGTTGATATGCTTTGAGAATTAGCAGATTATACCATGAATTAAGAGATACATTCTAGTTTAGAAGCAGGACAACTGTGAGTTAACGTTCATATTTCAAACAAGGCAAGTCAAAGGTGGTAATAGAATAGTTTTATTTGAGATATACAGAGTTATTCATCTAGATCTGCAGAGGTGATAGGTTTTTTGTATGGAAGGGTGTTAGGCTGTATAGACAATCCGTCGCACAGCCTGAGCTGAGGTCGGGCTACCGGTCATATAGCATAATAGCGTATGCGGCGGGAGTTGGCGGGGTCTATTTTTATCCTCCAATCACAGGTCGGAGAAATTCCTTTGTTTAGACGCATGTCCGACGACCCCATCAGACATTCTTGGTCAGTACCGTGACCCCCCGAAACAAAAATTATAGAAAAAAAAACGATTTATGGAAACGTGTCGGCCCATACTCAGTCAATGGGGCGCAGCTAGTCCGAGCCGACGCAGACCCCAGTAATGGGTAAATGGATAAACCCGCACCCTCAGATTAGCAAAGCGGAGTTTACGTCTGCATTTGCGGACTAGGGCGCAGCCATCATGCAGACGATAAAAAAAAATTTGGGGCAAGTGCTTTGGGCTTGTGAGCAACCAAATTTGAGTCACTTGCCTGACTGGGTAAGTGAGGAAAAGAAATTTCGCAGTGGCTGGAGGTACGGTAGCCGTCGTTCGTTGAAGTCCCTTTTTGGCGTTAGGGTTAGGGTTAGGGTTAGGTTTAGGGTTAGTTCTAGCTCATCTAAACTCAAATCGTGAATTTATTTCCCAAGGCGTTATTTCGAAATCTGGCGACCATCTTTGTCTCGTTAAGTATGAAAGCGAATGGACTCCCGTACCCGTAGCCACTGCCAAAAATTTTTGTGGCACCCTGATAATTATATAGAATTTAAATGGACTTGTTTCATCTATGACCCCTTGATGACCACCAGAAAAACCCCAAACGACCCCTAGGTTAAGAACCGCTGCACTAGGCAGTGGGCACTACACAGTACACTGAGTACTGTACTACTGAGTACTGACTACTGTTATTGTTATGGTGGGTGTAGGTGTATCACCACAGTGTATGTGGCATGATCTCAATTAATTTATTGTTCATTTGTTGGCAGGCATGACATGGCTGACGATCAATTAGTACCACTGGAAGGGGCATGTTCCATAGTGCCAGGACTGGAAGAGTCCATCTGCCTGGATGACACTGTACACAATACACCAGTAGAGATAGAAACAGATACAGACACAATTGAAAATGTAATTGATATGTCCACATCAGTGGCGTAGCCAGGATTTTTAACAGGGGGGGTGAAAACAGTGAACTGCGCAAAATAGTCTATGACTTAATATTTTAATGGTTCCTCCGCCTCCCTTTCCACACCCTACGCTCCCCCACCTCTCAGCTCTGCAATCTTTGTTTTGTATGGGCGCCATGCGAAAACGCAACATTTTTGTTCGTTGTTCTCTGCTCCCAAGATATGTAATTGTTCAGTGGCGGATCTAAGATTCTATGGGGGGGTGAAGAACATGCGGGGGTATGGGGGTCCTCCCCCAGAAAATTTTGAGAATGTTGATCGCAGGAGATGGTATTTGAGGCACTTTTGAGTACATGTACAGCCTTCATTCTGACTACGACAATTCTCTTTTTAGTAAAACAACTCTTATTTTTTTATATTTTTTTTACTTTTCGATCAACAAGGGGGGGCCATGGCCCCTTTTGCCCCCCCCTAACTATGCAACTGGTCCACATGATGTACATCATTTATATATATAAGTCTGAAATTCATATTCAGGTTGAAGAAAATGTATAATAATTCGAGACTCGATCACCACTTTATGTAGTATAGTATAGTAAGATCCTAAAATATGTGTGATACTATATTATCAGCAGTGATATTATGCTATACTAACCTAAACAAACAATACCGAAACACAGTCCATTACTCTTCACCTGGCCAGGTATCCTTGAGTGAAAACGATGGAGACATGCAGAGTGAAGATAAGGATGCCGTGGGTGGCATCCTGGCTGTAATCCCTGCACTACCTAAGCAGGTGGGTCGCCTAGTTGGCAATGCGCCTGAAGTTGTGACATTCCAAGACGAGGATATCTCGTACATCGTCCAGCCTTGCGGCGGGCACGCTAGCGCTCAAGCGCCGTCGCCAACCTTGGATGCGCCGGTCACGAGAGGGTTGCACGAACGAGAGGAAGAGGACGACGACGACTTATACCCGGGAACGGAAATCGTGGCCGGCGATGCAGGAATTTGCGTCTTCAGCGACCGTCCACGTGTCGAGGCGGAGGGGAGCATGTCACAGACGAGTGGGGATGTAGGCGACGACCAGGAGGATGGTGATGTCTCACTGGATGCTCGTGTTGGTTCAAACACAGAGATAGATGACACAAGTGGTCACCTTCAGGAGGAGAATACAGAACAATCTGGGAATGTAGAACAATCTGGCGATAATAGTTCGGAGAACGATCAGGTAATACATTAATTCGGGTGAATCGATTAATGTGAATTTATTCAGTACATAATCCATTATCCATAAAAAAGCTAAATTGGTAAAAATATTACAATTTGTTTCAGTTGTATCACATTTGCGAAAACTATTTAGGCAAAATAATGTTTTAATTTATCCATGGTCATTTTACATTACATGGCTAACTGATATTAAGTCCATACTGATAAGTCCACTATCATTAACAATATAAATGTATCTCAATAGTACATCACTAGTAACTTTATGAATGCCAAAGATTTTATACACTCAGTATTAACATGTAATGTTGTTATAGGATACAGCTAGGAGTCTTCCCATGCAGATGCTACAGGATGACCATGGATTTGAAAGTCAAGCTATCGGCAGCCCTGCCTCGAAACCAGATCTGTGCAAGTACTTCAGCAAATCTGACTCCGTTGTGACGCCACGTCATCCCACCTTAGAGGCAAGTGCCATCTGCTGGGTATTGTGATTCATGCGTTTCATACAAAGCATGCTGGTGATTGCTCAGGTGGGCATTGCTCAGGTGATTGCTCAGGCTCGCATGGTGGGGTTGCACGGAACGGGTTGTGTAGGTTTCCACATAAAGAATTGAAAGTTAACATGCTGAAGGAAAGGTAACTAATTCGCAATTTTGTGGACACATCTTCTAGTAGTATTTTTTGTTTCGAATTATTTCTAAAATGTTAACCACATTTTTATCCTTAAATTTACACGCACTATACACATGTACACATACGCGCATGCACGCACGCACATGGACACGCACGCATGCACGCGCACACTATATGTACGTGCACTGTTCATTGTTTTAAAGTAAATGTGTAAGTAGCCATGAATTGAGGCATGAGGCCAAAATCTGGCGTAGTGATCTGGGTCCGAAACAGGAATGTATGTTCTAAAAAAAATCATTGATTCTATTACAGTCACAGCAGAGTGTGTTGTCAGAGGTGAACCCTGAGGGAGAAAAAAGCGTCAGTGATTTTTTCAGAATGCCACAAAATGCCACGGACGACACAGAGGGATTGGCTTTCTTTGACTCCGCTGCGTACGTACCCAGATTAATGTAATTCTAACCAAATGCTAAAAACTCGACTCTAAATGTGAGATATCTTGTGACAGTCTGTTCAGTGGTCCACCACGAGAGGAGAGTTTTCATGGTAATAGTTACAGTATGTCTTGGTAGGTGGCAGTGAATATGAAGTTAGAAAAACAACTGCATATAATCTGTTTGAGCACACCTAGAAACTGTGATGCAATATCGGCACAGCAATGCAAATTTGACACAACAGTAGTTTAATTGTTCATAATCAGAATAGATAGGGTGAAATTAGTTTGGATTTAATCTGTGATGCTGGACCTTTCATATTATTGCAATAGGAACTGAACGCCGTGTGTTGTACACATTGCAGGGCAGACGACGTGAGAGAACGGAGGAGGACCCTGTCTCAAACTTCCACTGGCTCCGGCTTCTCTCCTCCAATGCCTGCAGAGACATCTGGTGTGTAAAAACAGAATTTATTTCTCAAAGACCTTTGCGACTGCGCGACTATTAACTCTTTGTAATTTCTTATAAGTTTATTGATTATCGAAACCTGATTGGCTTGACAGCGACTTGGCTTAACTCTATGGCGACTGTGAGTGAGGTTGACAGAAGTCAGGATGCTTGGATCCCCTCGGAGCAGACGCGACAGACCCTAGTTGCCATGGCGACATCGCTGCCAGGCTCCTACTTTCCAGACCAGGACAGCCTGACAATGCCTGGGGTTATTGTAGAGGATCTGATGGTAAGACCATCATGCATCTGACATTAGAATTTCGAGCCTTGGTATTCAAACACTTATGATAACTACCTTATTTATAATTGACACTTACTCGTTGCCCTTAGTATAATGCTGTACTGTATTCAGGCGTCGTATTTAAATTGATTTTAGAGCAATGTAAGTCTTTCCTTTGGTGTAATAAGAAATTTTAAGGAACTTGCAACAAGTGGGAGAGGCCACATTGCAAATGTTTCCTTCAAAAGAACAGCTATCAAGGGCACTTTTCATGACCACTTTTTGTGTAGGGGAATAGAGGGTTACAAGCATGTGGAATTTATGGGAAGGGCACAGACGCATACCAGCCATGGTAGGGTAGGCACTGCGGTTTAGTGCTGTGTACATTGGTCAGTTACCTGGGACACCGTGACAAGTGAGGAGGGCAACCATGCCACTTGCCATTGTGAGTGCCATCTCGAAATTCAACCTCTAACGTTACGCATTACTGCGTCCTTTTACAGGGCGACCCAGTGCGCGACCTGGTGGAAAGATTCATGGGCGAGCACGAAGCAGTCAAGCGAACGTCTCTCATTCAAGATCGCCTCACGGCCGATGTAGATGGCTTGGTGCAGCTTATCAATAGGGGAAACTATCGTGCAGCCGTGGACCTCACTGCTCAGCTGTTGGCTACACATGGGCAAGGGCCAGGCAAGAGTGGACATCTTACCACCAACACTCCTGACACACTACAGGTATTGTTGTAGATATCGTCAAGAGTACATAATAGGAGAAGAGTATGACACCGTTTTAACAGCGTTTTGCATAGTTTTCAACTTGTAAATATTCTATCAATATGTGAATAAATATATTCAAACTTTACCTTGTTTTTGTCTATGATTCTCCCTTAATCATATGACACCACCAATTTACCTGAAAATCGTATGTGTTCTTCAAAAAAGTTCTTTGAATACGACACGGTTTCACACAGTTTTCCCAAACTTTTGCATCTCTGCGGCCAAACTTGATATAGCGGCGGCAGCACCAGGTTGTAACTACGGGACGCTGGGGGCTGTTGGGGATATTAGGTAAGCACAGTAACAGCACTTGTTTCGCTTCCTTATCATCAGGAACACGATGGCAACACAGCTCAAATCAGCTGCTAGCTCGCCGTGAGCACACATTTATTTTTAGCACGCTGGAAACGCAATACACACTAAATACAATTCGATGCCTAATATCCCCAACAGCCCCCAGCGTCCCGTCAGAGACAATAGAACACTAATCCGATAACAAAGTTTGGCCGCGGAGATGCAAAAGTTTGGGAAAACTGTGTGAAACCGTGTCGTATTCAAAGAACTTTTTTGAAGAACACATACGATTTTCAGGTAAATTGGTGGTGTCATATGATTAAGGGAGAATCATAGACGAAAACAAGGTAAAGTTTGAATATATTTATTCACATATTGATAGAATATTTACAAGTTGAAAACTATATGCAAAACGCTGTTAAAACAGTGTCATACTCTTCTCTATTATGTACTCTTGATATCGTCTATGCATACTGATCTTTGCCATCTCATCTTTACTCGTTTTGTATGGCCACATGTTTCAATGAGTCGCTGTAGCTTCCTGTTTTATTCTCTCTGGCCACCACTTTTCGCTAATCCTGCCCTACCTACCCACTAACCACCTTTGCCCACAGTTCTCATTCTCAGCACACAATGAGCATTCCTTCGCTTTCCACTCGGCCTGCGCATTTTCGCCCCTATTTTTTGCTCCATTTACCCGTGTGCATAAATTCAACGTCACTTTCGTCTCTGACATTTAAATAACATGACGTAATTAATTAAGGTTATACGTTAACATATGATATAGTATATTTCATTAATACAGATGTCAATTTACTATAGAAAAATATGTATAATAGCATATACGTATCCAACGTCCTAATAACGTTTTTAAAACGTTACTACATAACGTTGTGGGAAGGTGCGAGTGTAACGTTCGCATGGTACGTTTCTAGAACGTTGCTGCAACGTTATTCTGGACCGAACCAAACTACAACATTCCAGCAACGTTGTGAAAACGTTATGTGTTAGCTGGGTCGCAGCTGTAGATTCTGCGCATGGCGCTGCTCATGCGTCTGGGCCAGTACAACAGCTCCTTGGAAGTAAATTCACCATCACTTTGCATCTCTTGCAGCTGTGGTTTCTGCGCATGGCGCTACTCATGCGTCTGGGCCAGTACAACAGCGCTGAGGTAGAAATCGAATCTTTCGGCGACATGGACCGTCCCGACATCTACTATGACTATTACCAGGATGCGTACAACTGCCGGCGCGGCTCGATCGTGCCGTTCTCACTGCGTCTGCTGCACGCGCAGCTTCCACAGTACGTGCACAAACCGCAGGACTCACTCGATCGACTATACGCCATGCACGCCGTCGTGAAAAAGGTGAGGGGTGCTCTATGTGAACACGGTTTCTCTGGAACACATCTCTGGTTTATCGCATGCTTCACTAGTGTAATGTTGTTCTAGCTGTTACATTCGCACATGATAAATGGAGCCAAACAGTACATATAGTGGCCAACTAATTGTAAATTGATTAATTATAAAGGCAATGTAAACAGCTACTACTACTACTACTACTACTGTACCTAGTACTGATTATCATAATCTTTATGTGAATACCTCAACTTTTAGATCGGGAAGAACTTGGCTGCTGGATTTTCAGAAGATGGTAGTCAGTGTGAGCTATCTGTAGATAGCAGGAAAGGCAAGTACTTATCACAAAACTCGAAAGCAACAGTATTATAACGGTGTTTGTGGAAAGAATTTGGTGTGAATTATCCAATTGCTAGACTGGTGGTTTAGTATCGATAACTTGTTATTTGGAATCTAGTGTTTTCCGTCTTATAAACACGGTTCGATCTCAGAATATTGTACAATTATTTGCAGCATCTGAGGACCTGTGGGCAGGCAGGGAGGTGCGACTACTCTACTCCATTGCCCATGCATTGCTAGCTGTCAAGGTAACTATACGCACATAAACGCGTGTCTAAAGTATACATCAATTAAAATTCAATCAGTATAAATCAATTAAATTTAAGTCAAAGCAACATTTAATGCAGTTACCACCAGTCGAGTTTTCAGAATGCGTAACGTTATCAGGAATAAGTAAGATGTCTTGAAGCCTGATTCGTTGTAGTCCCATTGTTATGTAGATAATTATTAAGTAATCAATACAGGCGTTGTTGTTGTTGCATAAATGAGGCTGTGACTGCTAGTAGGCTGTGTTTAGATTGGTTCATGAGTACATACATTAACAACGTGAAATGTAACAAGTGTGAGATCGCTAGGATCTGGCATTTAACAGCTCTCCGGCACTTTCAGTCTGGTATTAACAGGCACTGCGAGTACATGTGCTTAAAGTTCCAATGAGTCAAACGTACAGAAACACGGCCAGGAAATCACTACCAAATATGGTAGCATATGCTGCAAACTGATCATTACAAACAGTAAGCTCCATCAATATCTAGTAGACATGGTTCTAGGTGAAACCGAGACTGCGTGAGAGCACCTATACACCAGGAGCCCGTTGTCAGAAACAAAATTAGTCTTAACATTAGTCTTAACAATAACATTTTCTCGTAGACCGTCGACAGCACTTTTTGGATTGTTATCAGGAAATCTGCTATGATTTGTCATTCAGGTAACTTCGCAGCGTTTCTGTCGACGGTCTAAGAGAAAAAGTTAATGTTAAGACTAATGTTAAGACTAATTTTGTTTCTGACAACGGGCCCCAGATTGTGTCCCTTTAACGTACGACCTGGTGGTTTTGCACACAGGATTACAATCTGGCCATCCAGGTGTATGAGCAGCTAGTGGCACGAGACAGCGAGCATGCGGTGAAGCTATGGGGAGGCATCGGGCGATTATACCTGGTAAGTCTCATTGGTGTCGTTAACTCCCCAGAATCTGTATTTTGGGGGAACACGTTACGACTCTCCGTGGGAATTGTTGTGAATACCAGTAGCGGTGTGCTGCTGTTTGTAGTGTTATTATTTCCTCGTGGTTCTGAATTAAGTTGCTGGGGCTGGGTATCATTGGTGATGGTTTGGTTTTTTGGTAGTTGTGATGATGCAATTGGTAGTTAGAATGATCACAAAGGAAGTCGTGGTACTGCTGCCTCTGCTACTGCTGCTACTGCTACTGTTGCTGCCGCTGCTGTTGATGTTGCAGCTGCTGTTGCTACTGCTGCTGCTGTTGCTGCTAGTACTGCTGCTGCTGCTGCTGATGTTGCTGCTGCTACTGCTGCTACTACTACTGCTTCTGCTGCTGCTGCTGCTGCCATTGGTACTGCTGCTGTGTCATATTCCTGTTATTGGTGCTCTTGCTACTTGTGACTGTGATGATAATTGCAGATTGGCTGTTTGGCAAATGCAGAAGAGAGCTTTGACTTGGCAGATGCACAGGATAAAGATCCAACACCCAGCAGTCGATGTGGACGCCTTATGAACAGGTAAAATGCTGCTACAGTCAACCATGTATATAAAGGTCGCTTGTCGGAAATCGCTGAAAAGTCTTTTATAGATGAGTCTTCAAGTCTAAATAGTTGTCTTAATTGAGTCTAAATAGATGAGTATAAAATGTCTTAAAGGTTTTACATATGAGTGTTCATTCTATAGAGGTCACGTGCACCATAACGAAGATGTGGCTGTATCTACATGATTTCCTTCACTATTGATCTACTCCCCTAGTCATTTATCCATTCCTCGCTACATCTGCCTCTAACAGTAGAGCTGTTGTATTTTGCACGAGTTGATACAAGCATGACATAATCATTCCCGATGTATTAGGCACCTAGTAGAATTTTGTTATACGCTATTGTCACAATTTTCCCAGGCCAAATATAACTGCCATTTTTAGTGCAAACAGCCATATGTCGCGGGAATTTTGGCACTAGAGGTATGACAATTGTGTCTGCAATCTCAGCCACCAGTGCATCTGTGCGTCAATTATCAGCACATTTTTTCTGGTCTGTAGGGCATATATGCAAGTAGCTCACAACTCGTTTTCGGAGGCCTTGTGGCTGTTTAGGGAGGCAGCGCAAGCCGATGCCAACAACATCAGTGTAAGTGTTCTTGGGGATAGCAATGCGATAGCGATGTTTTTCAAGTTTGTAGAAATCGTATCTTTTTAAACATTTGGTGTGTAATGAATTAGTTATCTATCTACATATCTACATACCTACCTATCCATCTATCTGTCTATTAATTGATCTCTCGCTCCTTCTCTCCCTCCCTACCTACCTCCCTACCTCCATACCTCCCTACCTCTCTACCTACCTACCTACCTACCTCCCTTCCTACCTACTTACCTACCTACCTACCTACCTACCTACCTACCTACCTACCTACCTACCTACCTACCTACCTACCTACCTACCTACCTACCTATACCTACCTACCTACCTACCTACCTACCTACCTACCTACCTACCTACCTACCTACCTACCTATACCTACCTACCTACCTACCTACCTACCTACCTACCTACCTACATACCTACCTACCCGTCTGTTTATGTATCTATATCTGTCCATCTACATACATCTATCTATCTATCTATCTATCTATCTATCTATCTATCTATCTGTCTATCTATATCTATATTTAAGAATCTATCTATCTATCTATCTATCTATCTGTTTGTCTATATCTATATTTATGAATCTATCTATCTATCTATCTATCCTGCACCGTTCATTAACAGCTATCAAGCTAAATGCTGTCCATGTAATCGGCATGTTACGTTTCTCCACGTGTAGGCTGTCAACAACGTTGCTGTCTGCCTGCTCTACCTTGGTCGTCTGAAGGAGGCCATCGCCACCCTTGAAGAGTTGGTGCACTGCAACCCAGCCGTGAACACGCACGAGGGGGCCGTATTTAACCTGTGCACATTATATGAACTTGAGTCGTCGCGGGCACTGACCAAGAAACAGGCGCTGCTGGATTTAGTCAGCAAACATCAAGGTGATGGTTTCGCTATTAGTTCACTTAAGATGGCTTGATCATTGTAACAGGAAATTATATGTAAAGCTAGTAGCGTGGTCTCAGTATGTATATATAGGAGTATTATGACCATGTTGACAGCATTTGTGTGAAAATGGTAAATGTGAATAAAGAAGTCGGTATATTACAATAAAATGTTTTCGTATTTATGGACACTTATCATGTAGTATTTCCCCCATCTCTCTTTCTTTTAGCCTAACTACCTACCCCGCCGTTCTATAGCACCAGTCCAACGCCTAATGGTAGCTCCTGGCAACCAATAGAATGCCCCAAGTCTTTGAACTTCCAACAGAACATCTCAGCAGTCTTCCAGCAACCAATAGAACACCCCAGTAGTCTTCCAGCAACCAATAGAACACCCCAGTAGTCTTCCAGCAACCAATAGA